TCACATTGAGGTTCTAGTGCACCTCCCTTCGTCTCAATCCTACGCGTACCTTGAATACCACAATTGAGTTATCGGGTCACAGTCAGAGCGCCTCTTTCACTCCCCCAATCAGACAAGTTTGATCTAACAGCGTTCAGCTAACAATGAACAATGAATAATACAACATTTAGAGACTTAAGTTGAAAACAAAATCAAACAGCAAATCAAGTATCACAGTAATCAATGTTAAGCCTCTCAGAACCGAATAAAATTCCAATGCAAGAAAATAATGATTGGTTACAAAAACACCTTCAACTCAAACCCTTCATTTCAAACTTCAACATAAAAAAAAATGTTACAATTTCACTACAAACAAAAATCTATAATTTTGCATCATGCATCAAATTCTACAGAAATCGTTAAGCAATAATGTCGTTTATCCGACCTAAATTTCAAGTATCTCTACACAAAAGTATTAGAGCACATTATTTCATTTACTTTTATGTCTATCTAAAAGATTGTCATGTCAAAAATAATTAACACATTCAATATTTGAGAAAACTGTCAGTGCCCCATGCTCATTTTCCTGGAGAACTTGCCGAAGCCCTGAATTTGCTACAATCTGGCGGGTCAGGGTCATGTCTCAGCTTGCAGTGGCGTTCATGATGAATAATTTTGAACGTCCTCCTTCCCTCTCCTTCTACCTCAAACAAGTTATGCCGTAGTTTTCGACTAATGACCAGTGGACCACGCCACTTATTAGTGCTCACCTTCTGGTTTTGACTCACTGTGTCTGTTGAGTCTGCATACTGGACAACGTCACCCACTTTGAAAGGGCGCCTTACTGCTCTAGCGTCGGGGTCATTTTTCTGTCTTTTCACTGTTCTACCTAGAATTATCTTCCTTTTCTTCCAGTTAGAATTTACCTCACCACACAGCTGGACGGATTTACTGCCCACATTCTTGGGCTTTGTCGACGGCGCGGTCATCTCAGTACGGGGTAACCCGTTAGTCTGGACAGCAGCCATGCGTGTCCGCTGGCTTTTACCAGGACGCTGTCTTTTGTTGAGGGTAGTGACCATGTTTACTCTCACACTGGCTGGTGATGGTAACTAGTTATTGTTAACACGTTTTGATGGGCTAGAACAATTCTTATCCTCTTTCGAATTTACCCTCAATTTAGCCGCAATGGGCACATTGTGACCGTCCAAATTCAGACCTTGGCTGACTGAGTAGGAAAAATTATAATGAGCCAAAAAGTCAAAACCGAGGTAACCGTCCTCCATAATGTCTGCCACATATACCGTCCAGGGATACACTTTATCTCCAATCAATAATTTTACGTCACTCACCCCATATAGATTCATTGGTGCTCCAGTAGCTGTCTGCAGCTTCACAGGTGAGAGATGAATCTTACGTCTCTGCCGTCGAGGAATTTCAAAAAATCTTTTTTTTTTGAAATAACGGTCACAGCCGCACCCGTGTCCATTTGAAATTCTGCCCTAACACCACACACTGTAACAGGTACAAACACAGCACTAGGACGAATGGCTCGACCATTCGATGAAATGTGATTCAATTTTAGCCGATCAGGAATTTCGCCTCCTAAGCTCCTGTTTTGACAATTACGGGCATTGTGACCGATTCGATCACACTCGAAGCCCCTAGGTTCCACCTGCCGATAACCTCCATCTTCTCAAGCTGACTGGTTAACTGCCCCTCTCTGTGAGGTGATGAATGCTCTAAAGTCCTCTCTCAGGCCGCTGATCTCTCCGGCCAAATTGTCAGTAGCTATCGATGCTACTTGCTTTCCCGGTAGACAAAAATTGTCCCTCAGATTTAATAACTGCTCCAGGGCTGCTCTCGCCTTGTCCACTGTTGGAGGAACGGCCATAGTGCCAACGTGTATGACCATTGAAGGATCCCGTAGCCCACGTAAAAACTGCCTAAAACCAATGGCATCTCGTGTGGCCTGGTCTGCCATTGGAAAGCTTTTCCCTACTAGTTTCTTGATGTCGGTAGCGTACTCAGCACTGGTTTCTGTTCTTAGGAGCGTACGTTTTTCCAACAGATTCTGGAAGAAAGCTGGCGTTCGATGATCCTGGAACCGGTTGGCGAGGGTCTCTTTAAGTTTCTCGTACGTCTCTCGCTCTTCTTTTTTAATTCACTGTAAGCGAATTCAGCCGCCGAATCCTTCAAAACAAACCCCAAATACAGGAGTTTCTCTTCCTCGCTCCACTTGAAGATTTTTGCAGCTGTTTCAAACTGCACGATAAAAGTGTGCCATGTCGAGGTTCCACTGTACGTTGGGATGTTGTTTAAATACTGAGAAGTCATTGTGCTTGCCTTAGATTTTCCACACCTTGCACCTCTCATCTCAGTCCGGCTACCCAAAAATATTGTCTCTTCAGAGTCGTTGCAAGATTACCATCCCACCGCTGCCACCATTGTAAGGAAACCTTGCTTACTCTCTGATTAACTTCATCTAGATCTGGTACTCAATAAGGAAACACCTCCGGCGATAACATTTAAACTCGTGTTCTTTATTGGGCTGTCACTTTGCTTACACTTTCACTCATCTCACAACTCTGACTTATCCCTGCTATCTAGTTCTCAGTCCGGCCGCCTTCTGTCTCGTCCCGTCCAGAGGTTCCTATTTATAAGTCCCTGGTCAGATGGCTTGCTCCGTCGATCGTGATCTCTGGTCAGCTGGCGCCAACTGTACCTGTCAGACGGCCGGTCGCCGTCATGATCCGAACTTTCCACAATCCCCGGCGCCGCCGGCGCCGTCGTGGTCCGAACTCTCCACACTACCCCCATCTTACAAAACCAATGTCGCCCCGACATTACTAACACCCTCGCTGCAGTTACATAACTGGTCTCTAAATGGCTTAAAGTGCCTCGGACCTTCAGCCTTCATTTAAAAACAGCTCACAGTAACGCACGTGTGTCCTCACATTGAGGTTCTAGTGCACCTCCCTTCGTCTCAATCCTACGCGTACCTTGAATACCACAATTGAGTTATCGGGTCACAGTCAGAGCGCCTCTTTCACTCCCCCAATCAGACAAGTTTGATCTAACAGCGTTCAGCTAACAATGAACAATGAATAATACAACATTTAGAGACTTAAGTTGAAAACAAAATCAAACAGCAAATCAAGTATCACAGTAATCAATGTTAAGCCTCTCAGAACCGAATAAAATTCCAATGCAAGAAAATAATGATTGGTTACAAAAACACCTTCAACTCAAACCCTTCATTTCAAACTTCAACATAAAAAAAATCACACTATTTGATATACATTTGTTAAATATATATATATATATATATATATATATATATATACTGTTTTTCGATGTTCTGCAAGGCTTACTTATGAATGTAGCAACTTTTTATTTCTACAGCGATTGCAGTAGGTACTGAATTGTATTTCATCACATTTTATTTTGTTATGATAAACGGGAAGTGTTTCGTTAAATCAATACTGACTTTAAATCTAATGAAAATTGTATCTACTGCTACGCTGGTGGTAGTTTAGAATTGTGCAGGGCAAAACGCTGTCTTGGAATCGACCGAGCTCGAAAGACGCCCGATTTATGGATAATGTAAAACTATAACAGCATCATGATTAAAATCATTGGACACAACAAATCAATTTAATTCAAATAATTCTCTTCACTTAAAGAACAAAAAAAAAATTAAGTTTCATTTTTTTTTTTTTTTTTTTAAAATAAGTTTTTTTTTTTTTTTTTTTTTTACTTTTTTTCTATAGCACTGATATCTTATCCATTTACTTAATGTATGACATTTTTTGTATGGTTTTGGCATTGTTTGTGTACACCATTATGACATTTTTGTGTAAGCCATTATGATATGTTTGTGTACACCATTATGGACTTTTTGTGTACACCATTATGACATTTTTGTGTAAGCCATTATGATATGTTTGTGTACACCATTATGACAGTTTTGGGGACGAAATTATGACATTTTTGTGTACACCATTATGGACTTTTTGTGTACACCATTATAACATTTTTGTAAATACTATCGTTCCAGACAAGTTTACTGAGGTTAATGCGTTCTAGATGAAGCCATGATCTTAGTATCTACAGGATTAAATCTATTATAAGTCCGCATACAAGATTAGATATATTATATGTCTGCGCACAAGATTAAATATATTATATGTCCGCGTACAAGATTAGATATATTATATGTCTGCGCACAAGATTAAATGTATTATATGTCCGCGTACAAGATTAAATCTATTATATGTCTGTGTACAAGATTAAAATTATTATATGTCTGCGTACAAGATTAAATCTATTATACGTCTGCGTACAAGATTAAATCTATTATATGTCTTCGTAAAAGAATAAATCTATGACGTTTCTGTGTGTAGTTCTTATGTCCTTGACGAAAGTAAGAAAAAATACAAGGCTATAAAAGTGATCCAACTAAAACGTAAAGCTATTGAAGAATGTACACATGCGGTTCATATGCTAAGTTGTTGTATAATTTGATGGAGGTATTTAAAGAATACTGCGTACTTATTTAAGTCAAAGGTTATGAAGTTAAGTATTTTTTCCCAACATCACTATAATCAATTTTTTATTTTTTCGATTTTTTCAGGTTTTAATTCTATCAAGACTTTGCAACCTTTGACCTGATCATCGAAAGGAGCGATCAAACATTGGACTACCTGAGAAGCCTTATAAATATGTCTGGAGGCTCTTACAACTCGGGCTTTGATTGGGCCACCTACGCAGCGACAACTAAAGCCCTGTGCATCATTTTCCTCCTTCTGATCTTATTCTCCAACGTCCTTCTCATATTGAAAAACGCGTGGAAGTTAGATTTCTACACGAGGCCGAAGAATCAGATCATTCTCTCCCTAGCCATAGGGGACATACTCTTGGCTCTCTTTCCGCTGATCGTGGTGGCTAAGACTTTGTATGGAGACTGCTTCACCAACTTAAAAACGTGTAGCCTAGCGATGACGTCAGACACGTACATGAGATTTCTCATTCATTTCGTCTACGGCCTGGGGGTCGTCGTTCTGGGAATTGAACTTTTATTTCGCAACAAGATCCGAGACATGACATCCAGCAAAACAGCCAAGTTTATTGTTTCTATCGTACTGAGCGGCATCCCCTGGCTACTGGGTCTCATCTTCGTCCTACCGCTCTGTCTGGCTAACATTGACATGACAACGTGTTCGTCTGTGCAGACCTTACATCAGGCAGAGGCCGCGGTGGTAATCTCTGTTATTCTGCCCGCGTGTGCTGCTGTGGTCATGTGTATTGTGGTCAATTGTCGTGCGTTTCCTTCAGGTCAACGCCAACAGACAACGGCTACATCCGCACCGATGGTTACGATAACGACGAGTCACTCGAGTTCTCCGCTACAATCTGGTAACGGATTTACAGCGCCACCAACAAATGGGTACTATCCAGGCAACCAGTATCCACAGCAACCTCTTCCCGGACAGCATCCACTTCAGCAGTACCCTCAACAGAGGAACAACCCACAAGCCCATCAGTTATATGCCGCTCAGCAACCTCAGGTCACACAGCAACCCCATGTCGCACAGCAGCCCTATGCTGCGCAGCAACCCCCTGTCAAACAGCAAACCTATGTCGCACAGCAACCCTACACGGTGGTACAACCCAACCAGGGCGTGTACATACCGAACGATGCTGGGGTGGCATTGTCGAAATTCCACCGGGAAAAGTCCAGACTCCTTGCCATTGCCATAGTTTTCTTTCTCTTTGTTGCTCCACAGGCCATCTATCAGCTCAGCTATTGTCTGAACCTAAACAGTATCACGATGGAGAGCAGGATTGCTGCCACGGCCATTAGTGACTTCGTGTTTTGGTTAATGGTCATCAGATCATTCGTGACGCCGCTGATAATGTACTGCTATTCTGATGTCTAAGAGACAAGTACTGCTATTCTGATAGTTAAAAGACAAGTAACGCTATTCTGATGTCTAAGAGACAAGTACTGATATTCTGATAGTTAAAAGACAAGTACTGCTATTATGATAGTTAAAAAACAAGTACTGCTATTCTGATAGTTAAAAAACAAGTACTGCTATTCTGATAGTTAAAAGACAAGTACTGCTATTCTGATAGTTAAAAAACAAGTACTGCTATTCTGATAGTTAAAAGACAAGTACTGCTATTCTGATAGTTAAAAAACAAGTACTGCT